AAAGTGCATCTCTGTTTACAGAGTTGAAGGCTTTTGTTAGGTCGATGAATGCAACATAAAGTTTACACTGCTACTCTTTTACTTTTTCCTGTATCTGACACTACATGTTAACTAACGATTTAAAGCTTTTTACGAATTAAAAGAAATTTAAATTATACATTTTATTACAGGAAAAACTGCAAGAAGTTTAATAACCAACCATAAAAGCATGTTATTTTCCTGATTCCGTAACCAAGGTCGACATTTTATTAGTCTTCAAGGTACAAAAAAAGATTTTATATACATATTCACCTTAAAACATTGCATAATTAGTAATTATTGTATATTTAATTATTAATCTATGTAATTGACTTACTTAGCAACGGTAGTGATTAGTACTTCGTTATTAAATGGAGAAAAAAAGCAGTTGTATTTATAATAAAATTGTAACGCGTTATTTAGCAAAAAATAGGGGCAGTACTTAGATAAAAAATACTGTAATTTAAATATCTTCCTGAATAACTATAGTAGGTTATATTATCACACCTATTAGTACAAATAAGTATACGTTGATAGCTCATGTAGTAAGTGTTTTCAACATGAAAAAGCTCTTAGGAAAAACACATCTTTATCAATAAAGTAGTTTAACATTTCTGAATGAACGGAAGTTGCTGATTAAAGGGCTATTTGCACATAATATCAGTCATGTCTGAGTTTTGTTCGGTCAAAAGGTTTCAGTTATGATTTTTTTTTCTACAGAAAATATTCTAAATTATAAATTTTCCGTGAAAATTTACAAAAAGAACACTGTAACATAACAGAATCTTTAAAAAATCAAATATATTTCGTAGATGAGTAAACACACTGCTTCAAAAGAAAATGTATTTACTACTCTTGTTTTTTAGTCTTGTAGTCTTTATTAACTATTCTTGTTTCTTAAAATTAATTATTACATTTTTAGTTGTTGTAGGAATAGGTCTGGTGCATTCTCCGCCGGTGCTGCCCCCATCGGAGAATATAGCAATCAACTGGCGTATACAAATACACGGGTTTAAATAGCGAGGATGAAAAAATTTATTATAAAATTATTCTAAAAGTGTTAGGAAGTATAATTTGTGAAAATTTTAAAAATAAAAATTAAAAAGTCTTAAATATTTTAATATCTTCAGAAGATCCTAACTCGTATTATAATTTTATAATCCAGCTAATAAAGCTTTTTAAAAGAGTTCAACTACGGTAGCGAGTAGTGGCGGATAAAGAGGGGGGCCATGGGGCCCGGGCCCCCCCTAAGATCTATAAATTTGGTTAAATATTAGGCTGTTGGGTTAAAAATGGCGCCCTAAAAAGCATATTCTACATTACTTTTTATTTGGCCCGCACCCTAAAATAAATTCCTGTATCCGCCCCTGGTAGCGAGCATAGTTTTATACACCAGTTTTGCTAGTGGTGTCATAATTGGGGCTATTTTGGCTACAACGACAATTTTTAAAGGTACATAATTATAATTTTACTGTATATGTAACTGTTTGAATCCATTTTTGCTTTTGATCAAATCGGTGTGAGAAACATTGTTAATCTAAGTGAGAAACTATGAAGCTATAACATTTTGTTTTGAGAGAGTTGAATATCCGGGAAAGTTGAGTTATGTCTATGGGTAATATAATTTCGATTTCTGGTAATATAATTTCGAGTTCTTAAAAAATATGACTAGTTAAAATTCTGTCAATAATAATCTATCAAAGAATGAGAACGAAATTTTATTACCATAGAAACGCGTTTTGATTTTTAGACTTCAATTACATTTTCATTATTTTTTTATTTTCTCTAAATCGGTATGAAATTTTGGAAAAGTATAGGTAAACGGGTTTTACCATTTTAGAACAAGCAAATTTTTTTATGAAGAATGCATTTTTCTCAAAATGTCAATAATAAAAAAGTTTTTCCTCTTGTAAAGACAATCCGGAGACATACTGTATAAAATTTGTCGTTTTCTGTTTTGGCATTTCCGTATCTATAGTTACCGGTACCAGTGGTTGTTATGGCGCAAACCTTCAATAGCAAAACAAACAACTAAGTGACAGTTTTGAATATACACACACCGGAAAAATCTAGGGATATCGTTTTATTAAAGTTAAAAATAAATGTTTTGAATAAACAACCACATATTTGTAGGCCCATTCTTTCTACTTCGATTGAAACGAAGTAGTCACACTAGTTATTTCTAAATTTGGGATATTTGCAGAAGTGTTGAAAGTGTGAAATTGCATTTTTTGTCAAATGTATAAAAAGCACCTAGAATCAATTGTTCGAATTTAACCTGTACTGGCTATGTTTTTATGATAACTGGCCAGAATTTATTCAAATAACTCTGTTTAGTATTAAACGACATTATGGAGCGTAGACATCTTAACAGAGACGGAATGCTAAGGGCCATGGGTATGCTCGAAGCTGGAATGCGCCAAATAGACGTAGCTAGAGCATTAAATACAACGCAAAGTGTAATATCGCGATTAAGTGCACGCTACCGTGAAAGTGATGAAAGCAAGTTGCTGAAAGGTACACAGGGCGACATCGCATTACTACCCCTCAGCAAGATCATTTTTTACAATTAAATGCTCGACGCCGACCGACTCTTACAGCACAAGAGCTTAGTTTAATTCTCCAGGAAACACATAATGTAACCGTTAGTCCTGACACTGTTCGCAATAGATTAAGAGAGGTCAACTTATGAAGCAGACGTCCCTGGAGAGCTCAACCCTTAACGAGAGGAAATCGAGAGGTACGATATTTGTGGGCTCAAGATCATGTTCAGTGGTCGAATGAACAATGGGCCACTGTTCTCTTCACGGATGAGTCACGCTTTGGAACTCATCCGGATTCGAGAAGGCTTAGGGTATGGAGAGAACCGGAAAATCTTATTCGGTTGGATTATGTTCAGGAAGTGCACCCTTATCAAGGTGGAACAGTTATGGTCTGGGGAGGAGTCCAGTTAGGCCGAAAAACAGATCTCGTTTTTCTTGAAAGGTTTCTAACATTAATCATATATCGTGATTTAATTCTTGAGCCTATCGTGTTACCATATTTATGCCAATGATTTTGGGAGAAACTTCATTCTCATGCATGACAATTCACGGCCTCATACAGCCAGAGTGGTAAGTGAGTTTATCAATGCTCATCAATTAAATATCTTACCCTGGCCGGCACAATCTCCTGACCTCAACCCCATCGAGCACGTATGGGACGCGGTCCAAAGAAGAATTTTGAGAATAGGTAGGCCTCGTGAAAGTCGTAGGGATCTGGTTCGGGCCGTGAATGCAGCGTGGCAGGCTGTACCTCAAAAAGAGATCGACAACCTGATCAGGAGCATGGAGAGACGATGTAGGGTTGTAATGAACAGTAGAGGAGGCTATATCCTTTATTAAGTAAAATTGGTTTTATCTTTTTTTTTTAATTCACTGATGTTTAGAATAAAAAAAAATGTGTGTATTTTTTTGAGTTCAATAAAAATCAAGGTAAATTTGAAAAATTCTGTAAATTTCGCATTTTTATTTCCAATACGTCCTGTAAACTATTTGTTTATTTTAATTTTATTATATCAGAAATGCAAATAATAAAATTACTGACGATGGCTGGATAAAATTGTAATATCCCTAGACTTTTCCGGTGTGTGTAGAAAGCCAGAATGTTGTCGGAAAGTTCTGATAATGAAGACTACTTTAATATTGGTACTCCACCAGAACTTACAGGAAGCTGCAAAAAGAGCAGAAGCCAGTTTACTTCCAGAGAAAAGTAGGGGGCAATATGAAATAGCATTGAAAGTATACTAAAAATGGTGTGCCGAAAGAAATGCTAAGAGTATTGCTTCGGAGACAGTCTTGATAGCATATTTTAGCGACATGGCAAGGCAGAAAAAGCCATCTACCTACTCTTTGGGCTACGTACAGCATGATACGGACAATGCTAGAATTAAGGGAAAAGACAATATCACAAACTCGTCGCTTTTTTAAAACGCCAGAATGTAGGTTTTAAGCCAAAGAGCATTGACGTAACTACAGGGGTACCCGGTGGTGCCACCTCTCCCCAGCTACAGCTCCCAGAGAAATCTTGAATTATTAGTCTTGGCTACGTATTAATTTCTATTTGCTTGTGATGTAGTAAAAATGACGTTTTCTAGTTTTGTTTAGTTAGTATTATTTTGGTATGTTCAAAAAATGTGTTAATTTTTATTATTTTTAGAAAATTTGTGGGTACTTAAGTAATCTACGGGTACACGGTTTGATAACCAAGTCTGAAATTTATTGATAGAAAATTCATGTAAAATTTTTATTCAAAAAATGTGTTTTTTAAATTATTCTTCATTTTTTAAAAAATAAAAGAGTTACGGTACTCAGTTTCAGCCCCCCCCCCAGGATGAATTGCTAGTTACGCTAATGCCAAAGAAGTCTAGAATTTTTACCTTCAACAAATAAATGTATTAAAATCTTCAATTATTATTGTTAATCTTCTTGTTTATTTCTGTTGATGTTAGATAAGTATTTAATAAAGATATTACAAGAATATTTTGCTTAGTTAAATGAGGCGAGAAATAAGAAAAACCGAGTGAGGGAAATGGAGAAGAGGGAAGAAATGTAGATAATTTGACACTTTCAAAATTTTTAAAAGTCAGTAATGTCAGTATTACATATATGGTTGTAAATAAAATTATTTTTATAATTAATCTTGGCAACAAAAGCGTTTGATATTAAAAAATTAAAATTGAAGATGAAGCAAGTTTGTTATTCTGATCAGGACCAGAGTATTTTTTCGATTATTTTTTTCCCTTCATAACTCTAAAAGGAATTCGTAGAAGTTATTGAAACAATTTGTTAATTTTAATAAGTTCTTTAAACTGTTTGAAATAAAGTTTTCTCTAAAAGAAAATTGGAGACATTTATTTATCGCTTTTAAAATTTACATGGGATATCCTGTGTTCAGGTCGGTATAATTAAATGAATACAGTTTAAAAATATTATTCTACTAACCTTAAACACCTCCATTCCAAAAAAAATCAAATAGAAAAAAAACTAATTAAAAATCCTAATCACTCTCTCTGCACAGAACACCCAGTCTTTCGATACCGATACTAATCCGTCCGATGATACACCCGATCGCATCGGTTTCTAATCAGATGGAATCTCGCACAAACTGCGCGAAAGGAAAAGTGGAAAGCCCGAGCACGATGTAGCGCGTTTCTCGTCCAAGCGACTGTTGATATCGCCGTGTAATCGCCGAATGAATGAATGAAAAAGTCTTCTTCGTTCGTGTGAGAGGTTGCTTGCCCGGGTCCCACCTGCCGACCTACATTCGGTAAACGCTTAGAAAGAATATCAAAGGGATGAGATTTTGATTATACTAATGTAAATATCAAAATCAGTCTGGCAAGTTTGAGGCTCGTATCAATAACATAATAAAACCTGGGACTTATGAGTATAATAAAACCTGAGATTATGGATGTATAGGGTTTTCTATTAAATTTGTCTCCCGATATACAGTCTGAAAAAATAAATAATACTTAGAGATATGCTGATATAGAGAGATCATGGAACAATTATGTTTCCATTAAAAAATCGCGAAAATTAAAATACAAATAATTATAATAAATGGAGATTGTGTTTTCTAAGAGAGCTGGCTTTATATTTACAAAAACTACATATAAACATAATTAATATAATATACTTACCCTTAAATTATAAAAACACTAATCACCCACGCACTGAGACTCTACAGGGTGATTCGAACTATATTCCGGAAACTGTAGCATATTCTGCAGATAAATAGAAGTAAAAAAGTTCTCATAATGCTTAATTTCGGAGTTCTTGAAATGCTTAGTTTCGGAGATACAGGGTGTATAAATTTCATTTTTGTTTTGATTTTTTCCAAATAATTTCTGAAATAACGTCAATATTTTGATGAAAATTTGTGGGGGAGTTTTTTTATATGAGAAATTTGATTTTGGTGTCACACACAGCCAAAACAACTTGTGTAACAACATACCTGTGCCAATTTTTTGTCAAACGGAAGATGCTGTCAACAAACTTTTCACAGCTCTCTTCGTTTCTGAGCTACAGGGTCTTTTCAAAAATTTTGCAATTTGGGACAGCCCCCGTATCTCCGTTATTATGGATGATATCGAGAAGGTGAAAATTGATTCTTGTAGAACATTTTACGTAGAATACAGTGGCGTAGTGTTTTTCTACAATAAAAATAATTTTGAAAATATGAACTAAAGTTATGTTTTGTTAGTAAGTTTTTTCAAATGGAACAACCTGTATATTTATAAATCGTATGATCCTTGCTATGAGCTTCTCAATAATATATACCACTCTATATTTATTTTCACTATTTACTGTGATATTTAAAATATATCATTTTCTTATTAGTAGGCCGAGATAAATAACAAAAAATCAAAATGGTATTTACTAAAATAGTCATACACTTATTAGAATTTTATTTGCAATTGATATATTTTACTTTTGAACCGTTACCACTGAATCTCTGAATATATTTTTCTTTTTTATAACGGGATGGGTTTGCAAATATCTAAAAGCTTGCGTTATTAGCTTGCATTATTAAAGCATTTTCCATGTGTTCGACATTGTATTAGTTGCCAGGATATATTTCATATTTCAAAAATCCCCGAAATCAGAATTCGAGAACGAACGAATCCGGGAATCAGGGAGGCCATCATCTGGGTCCATTGATTCCAATTCATTGATTTGAGAAATAATAATTTAACAAAATTCTAATATTTTCATTGTATGTTAAGTTGTGAGGGGAAGCATGCTTTCTTGCTGAAAGCATATTTTACGTAAATTAGCTAAAGGAATATTTAAAAATTCCGATACGATAGCTTCCAAGATTTACAAATACTGGTAGAGAGTTAAGTTTTCCTAATATATAAAGAATTTATTAGTGGCTCTCAAAACAAAAGAAGAGACAGATAGGAGTATACTTTTAATAATTTATTAGTTTCTTTTATTATCAATCATGGTCTACTAATAAGTATGATCCTTTAATATATTTTTTTTAAATATTGCAGTAAATAGTGAAAATAAATATAGAGTGATATATATATTTTTGAGAAGCTTATGGAAAGCCAGATCATATAATTTATAATTTATAAATATACAGGGTGTTCTATTTAAGAAAACGTAACTTTAGTTCATATCTTCAAATATATTCTTTTCGTAGAATAACAGACTACGCCACTGTATTCTACGTAAAAAGTTCTACAATAAAAAGTTTTCACCGTCTCGATACATTTAACAATACAGAGATACAAGGGGTGTCCCAAATTGCAAAATTTTCAAAAAGAGCCTGTAGCTCAGAAATGAAAAGGGCTATGAAAATTTTTGATCAAAAAGTTGCAAAGGTTTGTGCAAACCGCACCCTTCTTCACGAATAACAGAGATACCGTATGATTTCAACCAAAATGGGACACCCTGTACATTACTTTAGTTTTTGCTAAATTAATTTTAAGACCAGCTTTATTACTGGCTGTTAATTCTCTAATTTAATCACCTTTCTATCTCTTGAGGTGTGCTTTATTGTATGCGACACCATGTATAATGATATATTATTCTAATCTTTTAAACACACCTTCTAGGATCGTCTGTTAAACTAACCTACATCTATATCCTTTTTATCTCGGAGACAAACAATAAAAATCCACTTGTATCAATAAATAACTGCGAGCAACGTGAAACGCCGATGAGAATTTTATTGCTTTTTTCTCCACGATTTTTAAAATAACAAAAGTCGTTGGCTTCTTCATACCGAGCGCACTTTCACTACGTGCTCAACATTTTTAAAGATAGAACTTTGCAGTGATTCATCCGTCTAAATGTCGGAATGACTTACCTTAGTCTACATCTGCACGGGCTAATCTTATGCGCTTATTTATAAATAAACAATCGTGGAAGGAATGTTGCAGTTCAAGGTTCTTGAAGAATGCAGAAGAGAAACAAAGAATGTTTGTTTGTTAGGCCTCGTCAACATATAATGTTTTACTTTGCGTCTTAGCTGTTCAGTAGACTATTTAAAAAGATCGTCTCTATTTTTTTCTTAATTATATGAAATATGGTTCAGAACCGGGTAATCCCGGTACCGAAAGATCCGGTAATTCCCGGTTCTTTTGAGACATCAAAGAACTGGGACTCGAAATTATTAATCCCGGTTCTTTCGGTACTTTCGGGACTCGGTAATAATAATTAATAACATACTAGCTTTTTCCCGCGACTACGTTCGCGTTACACCTCGAATCGTTCATGCATTGATTTCAATGATTGTTTACTTCTTTATAGATAGAGCTAGTGAACCTTACAAATGCAATATTTAAACTATGTTTTTAAGAGTTTTAGAACTACTCGTATTTCATATGAAATTGTCGATTTTCTGGGTGAGTCTTGAATAAGTGTAAATATTTTCAGGGCTGGTAAATCTCGATAAAAGAAACATTATCTTACTTTAAAAAATTCCAAAAAAAGAAATATTTTTTGCTTAAATTTTGAGAACCACTGGAGCTTTTCGGGTTTTTCTGTCTGGTAAATTTAATCTACCTACTACCTATGTTGCCATGTTATGAAGAAATTATGTTTTTTAACTAAAAACTAAAAAGAAATCTAAAAAGTTAAGTAATCTTAATAATTCTAGAAGTTGTTATCGAAATCAAAGTATTTCAAAGAAGTTCAATTTTGGCCCCAAAATGATTTGTGACTGAAACTAATTATGTATGGTTGGACAGAGGGTTGATGTGGTTTTTTTATTTCTTAATTATGGGTATAGAGTGTTTTAGAAATCGAACCAAAATCGAAATTTGGCAAAATCTGAAAAAAGAAAATCTCTCGATAATAATAAATACTGAAATGACTATTTACCCTCTATAGATAGAACCCTACCTAAGAATAAATATTTCGTTCATATTATTGATGTCACTAAATAAACCCTTGTATAAAATTTTATACTTCTAGATGTTATATATTGTCCTCCATTCGCGAATTTCAAGTTCCAGAGCTTTACGCTCTGGGCTACTCAGAACGGTTCTGAAAGGAGCTGTGCGCGATAGCCTAGGATATGGGTGTCCATATGGCGCGGAACAGTTCTGAACTTTATGACTCAATTGAATGGAGTGAGAGTATCGCGTTCTTGAACAGTTCAGAGCTGTACAACTGCATGAATGGAGGACAGTAATAATAATGCATTTTCGTACAACAAACTTTCATTCCCTATTCTACTCCCTATGGGTATGAATTTCATAAATTTGCTATGTCCGAATAATTAACTCATGTCTTTTACATGATACTTTGTGCAAATTTTTATGTGTATAATCCAGAGGTCACGAAGGTTTATACAGGGTGTTTCAAAACAAATGCGAAAAACTTCAGGGGGTGATTCCTTGTTCAAAATAAAGGGTAGTTTGTTTTATAAACGTTGGGTCAAAAGTCAACCATTTGCGGTACAAAGATGGCGGAAAAATAATGTCAGCATTAATAAAGAATCTAGTGGGCAGCTGTAATTTTTTTAGGAAAAAATCTAGTCGGCCGCTGTCACTTTTTAGGATGTTTCTAATATTGTTTTATTTGACATTACCCTACTGCAATACGTTATTATCTAGATTATTATTATTATCATTATTATCACTAGATTCTTAATCTAAAAATATTTTTTGTCCTGACATGTAATGCTTTACATTTTATTTTTTAATTTCAAATCGGTGAGTTTTATAAAAAAAATACAAGAGATAAAAAAGTTTCTAAACAAACTAAACTATCCAAATTATTGTTTTTGCATGTGTTTGATAAGATTTTTCTTTAAATTTCGTTAACAAGAATGATAGGGGTAGTTTATTTCAACCCCTTCCACTCGTTTTAAAAAAGTGAAAAAATTACCAGAAAGTGTGTTTTCATAACAGTAATGCTCCCATAAAATTTCATTAGTCTATCTCTTTTCGATTTCAAGATAAAAAATAAGAACATTATTTTTCCGCCATATTTGTACCGCGATATCTCCCTAATGGTTGACTTTTGACCCAACGTTTATGAAGCAAACTACCCTTTATTTTGAACAAGGAATCACCCCCTGAAGTTTTTCGCATTTTTTTTGAAACACCCTGTATAAATTTTTACTAACTTTACACATTTGGTTGATGAATTTCAATAATCTCTTCTAATTCTTTCTGTAGAATTTCATTCTTCTAGACCAGATAGTAAGGAATG